GTATAACTTTTTAAAGTAAAAAATTTATAGCTGTATAACCTTTTAAGGCTAAACATTCACAGGTATATAACTTTTAAAGTTAAATATTCACAGTTATATAACGTTTTAAGGTTAAACATTCACAGATATATAACTTTTTAAAGTTAAACATTCACAGCTCTGTAGCTTTCTAAGATTAAACATTCACAGCTATATATCTTTTTAAGATTAAACATTCACAGCTATGTACTTTTTTTAAAAGTTAAACGTTTATATCTATATAATTTTTTAAGATTAAACGCTTATATCTATTTAATTGTTTAAGATTAAACGTTTATGGCTATATAACCTTTTGAGCTATATATATCCTTCGGGTCGTATAAAGGAAGATTATGTACAAAAAATCAACCATAGTCGTTAAACTTTTGCATACGACTCATCACACTGTTGCAGTTGATCGGGTTTTTTTCTTTAACGAAAAAATAACTAAAATAAAACACGAATTTTAATTATATTTGAATCTAAACTGCAATTCTTAGCGAATGGGTTAATTTTATAGAAATGTTAAGTAAAGTTTATTGCAGCAAAAACATTACAAGCAACTTACAGAATCAGCCAACTCTACAGTCGAACAGTCTCAAATACGCATTCCAAATAACCGAACCTGCAGTTGGACGTAAAAAAACAACAACTCTATTTAAAGGACAAATTTACTCTCTCGAGCCATCGATCCAGATAACTGATGAAAGTGGGTTCTGCTCAAAAATGTAGTTGTTAAAGTCTTCAATGTTTTTTGTGACTTGTACAAACTTTTATCTTCAGTGAAAAAAGTAGATAAGATATAATGATTTATACAAACTTTTGTCTGCAGCAAATTGTAGAAAGTTTATATAATTAAGTTATAATGACTTGTACTGATTGTTATTTCAATAAAAACTAGACAGTTCGTATAAGTAATATATTATACCATGCAATCTTCAGTAATAGCCAGTCAATCCATATGATATTGAAATTGTGGCTTTTATAAGTTGTGATTCCCATCGTGTAATAAAACTAGTTAATTTATATGACATCAAGAGAATGGCTTGTATAAACTACAGTCTTTAGTAAAGCTAATCAATTTAAGTAGCATAGAAACATCTTTGAAAACACTTACATTTTGCAATTTTATGTTGTGTTGATGCTGTTGTTGCTTTAGCGCAAAGTTAAACAATGCTTATCTGTGGTCTGTCCACCGCGGTAAATCAAACCCCGGATTTTAGCTTTGTAAAGATTGAGAGTAACTGGTCTTTTTATGTGCTAAACAGTGTACGAACGTGTTGGAGCTGAAAATGGAAATCAGTCAGTTTTATTATATCCAATTTTATCCTCTTCCCCTAAAAAACACTAAATGTGTATAACTTAAGCCCATCATCAATTGTCAGATCTGATTACCATCAGCTGTAGCAAAGAATGGGTCATCACCCTACATATTGTGAGAGTCGGTTCGTCAAATCTGATTACCATCAGCTGTAGCAAAGAATGGGTCATCACCCTACATATTGTGAGAGTCGGTTCGTCAGATCTGATTACCACCAGCTGTAGCAAAGACTGAGTCTTACTAAGTTTTACATTTTCTAATATTTTTCTTAACGAGTTACATCAACAGTTGCAAATCTTGTATATATAACACAGGTCGACCCCAGCGTCTGACATTAATGCATGGTAACCAATTTTAACTCTCTAATGTTCTTATATATCTTTTTTTATATATATACTAAAACCCTTTATCGCATCTGCTCTATATTTTGGAGGAAGTTGTGTAAAGTGGCCGCTTTAACACCAAATCACATAAAAATGCCTTTTTTATTCCCAAAACTGTTAAACTACATCGTTTTTGACTACTAACAATAAGATGTAAAGAATTTGAACTCACCTTTCATAATTACGTTGAAATATGTTGAATATAGGAACGTTACGAATATTTCGGATAATTATAACTCATCTTTCATAATTATGCTCACATATGTTGAATATAGGAACGTTACGAATATTTCGGATAATTATATTAACGTCGATAGCAAAATATAATGTTTGAAAGCTCTGATTTCAGTAGCTATCTTCTTCAGCTTATTTTCCCACAGTACCTGGCGTTAGATAGCGATGCTTATACGCTTTGTTACATCATAACTTTTTCAAACTTTAGCCTAGTTTAGTAATGTCTGGAAACTGTTTTTGAATTTCTGAAAACACATCTGATCAAAATTGAAAAGAATGCCATTTTAAAAGAAGAGTGTATTACAATAAAGAAACATATACTGTCTGATACCTAAACCGTGTGATTATATATATATATATTGTGAACATTATATATATATATTGTGAACATATATATCAAGAAATACTATAATTTGTCTGATTTACCGATATTGCATTAGCACCTGCAAAATAAACAATTATTTGTTTAGAGATAACTCAGCGAAAACAGCTTTCTAGGTTTATTTACCTAACACAATAAGTAAAGTTCAATTTAATTATTTCCATTTTACTTTTAATAAGTTAACTTGAATTAGACGGTGAATTGTAGCTCTTGAAATATTTATAGTTTGTAAAATTATTTTTTACTAACCCTTAAGTTTGAAATTTTCCACGGTATCCAAGATCACGTGGCCCACTAATGTTTCACCAGCATAATACATTTCCTTCTCCAGGCGGATATCGAATTCCCGGATGTAGTCCATGTGGAACAGCTACTGCCAGACAAGAACGAAACAAAACAAAATTAATGTAGCAGTAACTATTTAAAGACGGCAGAGAGATAGTTAGAGTCATTCTGTTTCTGATTAGAAAAAAAATTCACGTCAAAATCATTATTTTACTCTTCATTTTATGGCGTGTCAAAATAATGTACTATAATCGACTTTTACTGGTGTAGCAAAATAAATACTCTAGTTTTTCAAAATTAACTTTACGAAGTTTTAGTTATATTAACCAGAAATGTGTATTTATGTCCATCTATTCAAAAATAACATGTCATTACTCAGTACAATATACGTTAAACGAATCAAATAAAATGTACAATTTTGGCAATAAAATACCATGCATACATATCCCTAGTGAGTGTTATTGTCTTGATGGACACATTTATCTCTAGAACATGTTATTGTCCTGTTGGACATATTTATCCTTAGTGTGTGTTATTGTCTTGTTGGACATATTTATCCCTAGAAAGTGTTATTGTCTTGATGGATACATTTATTTCTAGAACGTGTTATTGTCTTGTTGGACATATTTATCCCTAGAACGTGTTATTGTCTTTTTGTACATATTTATCCTTAGTATGTGTTATTGTCTTGTTGGACATATTTATCCCTAGAACGTGCTATTGTCCTGTTGGACATAATTATCCCTAGAACGTGCTATTGTCCTGTTGGACATATTTATCTCTAGAACGTGTCATTGTCTTGTTGGACATAGTTATCCATAGAACGTATTATTGTCTTGTTTTATGTGCAATATGCTGAACTTAATTTGGATTTTGTAGAATCGCTGGGATTGGTGTGTTTGTTCCAGATAGTCAACGATTTGTTTTCACTGCATAGATACGTAGTTCTGATAAAAAGCCCTTTATGCAGTCAAATAGTTTTTCCATGTCAGTTATTGGGTATCACAGAACATTCAATACAAATTTCTACAACCAACCCAACTCTTGACGTACTCAACTTGATCTTTTTTTATGTTATCATCATTTGTATCTATATATGTAAAGGCAATTTAACTTTAATCTGTTACAGACTTTAGTTATAACTAATGACCTTATCTACAGAACAGAAAGTTATTTCTATATATGCTCTCTTATCAACTTCTTGAAATTGTTTCATAGATAATGATTGTTCACTTCCCTGGTAGAATTTAAAGTTCAAAGTCAGCAGAAAGAATTTTCAAAACATTACTGTCAACACTCTTTCATTATAGTTCAGGTGTGTATGACACGTGATTGGATACGTTCTAAAGTATTTCGCACCACGACTAATACACGTGTAAACAAGTTGATCCCATGCTAGTAATATAGCTGAAAATAAGACGCGATAGCCAATTAGGAACCTAATAATTGATCCGATTTTCTTAATGCCTCGCTAGGGAAAGTCTGGGCGGATTAGCGCTTGTCAGCTGTTTATTAAAATCAGGTGATTTATTTACAACGTTCTTATTTCTTTGCTTGTTTATTGTTTTAACACATTATTGAGATGAAATATTCGTTAAAAATTTTGTTAACTGTACTAGAAAATGGAATATTTCAGGAAATTATGAAAAACGTTTTATTTTTTGGTCATTAACGCTGTCGAAAATTACACTAAAATTAAAACATTCGGCTTTCAGGTATTTCTGAAATATATATATATTTCATATACAATAGACGTGAATAAACTGTTTTAACAACTCTTTGTAGCTTCAGAGTAGAAGTTATTATTAATTTTGTATGTGCTAGTAAACGTATTAATGTAAGATCATGCTATATTTAGTAAATTCTGTAATAAGAAATAAATGCGTTCAAAAGTACTAGAAAACGTTTAACACATATCTCACATACTATTTATGATTTAAGCCAATTACTGAGTTGACAAATAACTATAACTCTCTAATAGGCCTAAAACTATTTTAATAAAGAATATTCAGGCTTGTATAAACCTAAACTCAGCCTACCGGATAAAAGCAGTAACATTTTACAGCATTATTCTAGATTATTTTTCGTTTGTTTGTTTTATATAATTTTACTGTTCTGTGAGAGTAAGTAGGTTTTTAATGTGAACTTCATCTCTGTCTACAGTGCCAAGAGGTGCATCAGACCAACTTGCTTTTTTACGACTTTAGTGCCATTAAGAAGCCTCATTTTCCTGCTATGTCAACATTGTACCCAAAGTTTGATAGATATTGAAATATTAGTATAATCTTGTGCTCTGTAGTGGTACTTGGATTAATATACAACCAACTAAATGTTCCTTAACGAATAGCAGTTATATACATAAATGTTTCTGAAAGTTGGCGCCGATAGTCTCAGTGCACTTATACTGAAATGGTGGAGTACTTACCTTATGATTGGCTGATTATTAATTTAAAATGAATTTCTTATTCATTACATACTTGATAATTTGGAGCCACATTTTTCAATAAGAATATTAACAAAAATTAACTAAATGATGCAATTAATTGTAAACAAAAAGCAACAGTGTTGAGTGTGGAATAAAATATGTAGTCATGGTTACCACAGTAATATATACCATGACCATATACAGAGACATGCGTACAAGAACTGCTTGCTGCGGTGATTAAAATACAGACTATAAAGCATTGATAAATAGGTAAACCCAAGTTCGTTGTTCATTTTTGGATAACGAACAACAATCTGAGTCGTTTGTTGTTACTAATGTTTTGAATAACAAAAATCAAATTCGTTTTTAGCTTTTTTTAATAATTTTCCAGCTTTTGAATAACGAAAACGACCTAAATTTTTGGTTTTTGTTTCACGTTTTTCAGATTTTGAATAACGAAAAATTATTTGGTCAGTTTCTGTTTTTATCTTTTTATTAATGAAAACCAAGTTTGTTGTTCGTTATTCAAATGGTGGATTTTCATTTTTTGCCATTCGTTTTTCATCCTTCTTTTTTGTTGTTCGTTCTTCTTTTTATCACCTCCTAAACATGGAATAAAACACAAAGGAGAACGAATATGCTAGCATGGAAATCCCTGATGGAAAAAAAGCTTGTTTTGTAAAAATATTGATATGGGAGATGAATATGTAAATACGGAAGAACGTAGCTTAGATAAATTTCAGAAGGAAATAAAACAGCAACTTAAATTTAAACTTACATATGAAAAATTTAAGTTTCCCAATAAAAGTTGACAACAGAATGGACAGGGGGCTAGCGAGTAATTGGAATGATGTGTTTGCGTAGAAGAGTCCTACAGGGAATCCAATTTGGTCCTTATCCTTCAAGAAACAACTCATTGTTCGAAAAGGCTCACGGAATTACATAATATTCTTTATTCATTGAAGAAGCACTTTGCATATTTCCAAGAAGTACACACAGTATACTTTGAAATAAAAAGAGCCTGAAGAGGGAAAACCAGTCAAAGTCCAAGTATCAATGGTGAGTTCATATAATGTTGGAGGAGTCACCAAAGGCAAACCAATAAGAGAGCTGGTTCGTAGACTGGCAGCTGCTGAAGTCAGACAGATGGGCTCAGCAAATGTATACTACTAGCGCTTAGGAGAAGTTCCAGAATTTGTCTATAAAGCTGGCAACAACTCAGAGTTTGAAAAAAAAGTCGTAGTAGAGAAAATTTCCTGAGAGGAAAACCTAACTGAAGTATTACACAAATACTTTGTTCTGGAAGTTTCGTTGTTGAAGGAAATTTATGAGAATATAAATATTGATCCTTGTGCAACAAAAGGTTGTATTCAGCATCTGCCTATGTTTCTGTTTGCAGCTCATCCATATACAAGAAAACAGTTAACCAGGCAAGCAGATGATCTTGTTATTGTCAAGGTTCCAGAACAAAAAAGTGTTCTATTACTTCATGCTTCTTAAAGGAAGAGAAAAAGGTGATCCATTACTACCAGTAGCAGAAATGATCAGTATAGGATACAATACTGCTGATGTATATAACTTTCTTGTGGGCGTGAACAGAAATATAAACTATGTCCAACAACGGGTCAAGTCACCTCAGCGTGTAGAGGTTGATAACACCTGGACTTACACCTATGCCACTTTGTCGTCATTCAACCAAGTGCATATTTCTATTTATCTTTACCCCTCACAGAAAGTTCAATGAAGAGGGAAGAGTTATTTGCATGTGCTCTGTACATTTACTATGTAAAGTATTTGGACATCTTAATAAGAATGTACAACTATTTTCTGGAGGAGTTTAATTCAACGTTTCACTTCTTGGGCGTCCCTTTTTGTCCAATCACTAGAGCTCATCCACAGTACAGACATGTAAAGTCTATGCTGGACGTTAGTATTGAATCCCAAGCACTTTTTACTTGGAAGATGATTCATTTCCTGACAATAACGATGAGGTTGGTCATGAAACTTCGAATCCGGTACCAATAATGTAAGCTACTTGCTGAATTTATTGGCGAAACCAATGAATTTAACAGCACAACAATGCTTGATTACCTAATCACAATCTATATGTAAATATCACCTGTGTTGACAGGTTTGGTTTTGCAAGATGGTACAAGCATGATACCAATTCACCAACAGAAAACTGGATTGAAATTATAAAGGAAGACATATGCAGGACAAAACAGAGACAAGATAAATTTATTATGAGGTAACTTAGCAATCTCAACGGCCGTCTGCATGAATACCGACAAATGATGTCCCGCCCCTTAAAAAATAAATAAAATAAAATAACAACAAAGAACCTAATATCTTCCACATCTAAGAAACAAACCAGTTCTTACAATGAATGCACTTATTATTATTGTCTGAAGAACTATGCGACAAAGAAGGCAAAATATACGGATATTTATGCTGAATGGGCACTGCACTGGGGAGGGTAAACCAACCTACCTCAAAGTGTTGTCTATATCTGCAACACCAAAACAATGGACAACCTACTAATGTTTTTGTATTTCCTTCTTCGGGTAACAAACATTGAAATACTGTTTAAGGACCATGCCCATGACATAGAATCATAGATATGTGTCTGTCAACTTTTTATGGACATTGCCATCTTTGATACA